TTCATTTCTGTTTAGTTCTGTCTCCCTCGGCCTCTTCTCCAGCTCGGCTACTTGCGTTCCACCATCTGCAGTCTTTGCTTTTAATTGTCTTCTGTCCAGCCACCTGGGATGGCTAGATATCTGATTGACTTAGTTGAGTGGTAGCTCACATCAAGGGCATACAGTCTTTGGCTGCCCTTTATAGAACTTGTAGACATAAGCCACAATGCAGCTGACCTTGTCCAGTGCCTCATCTCATTGCTACAAACCTCCTGGGCCAGAGAGAGAGAATTCTGCACCTGCTCATGCGCTCCCTAGTGTCTGATCTATCTCCAAGAGTCACTTGATCAGTTTTTCTTCCACTTAACTAGGGAGAGGGAGCCCTGTATTTTGACTGTTGGAGACATGTTAGCAAGCACTGAGATCATTTTGTTGATGTCTGACATTCTTTTTTGTCTGTATAACTCTAGATTAGCTGACAGCCCCCTAGCTAAAGCTCTGCATCAGCTCTCATTGTCTGCAGGAGTACATCATCACTACACCACAGAGACTTTACGTGTCCTTTGGCCTGGTTACCCCATGTGACTGTGAATCTAAATATTTCTGAATGTCTTTCTTATGTCCTGTTCCTGTGCATCTCCTAGAAGTAGAGGGTCAGCTTGGTTGTGTGCTCACCTCTACCTAGGACTTTAGTATTTGGATTTTTGGGGTAGTATAGATCTGTAACATGGCTCCTACAATGCTGTGTCATCAGAGTCATGGCTGAATTGATGGTAGCTGACAGAAACCAGCTTCTTCTTGTTGTATTTCTTTATCAACAAAAGTAGAATTATTTTGAATAGCTCCCTAAAAATACCTGACAATCATACAGAAGGTCCTGGAATAAGACAGAAACTACAGAGAGTTTGGGAATATCTTTAGGAAATGTTTATGTTAGTAATTCAATTTACTAATTTTTATCTTGTTTGGGAATACATGTTCATGTGTGTAGTGTGTGTGTGTGAAGGCCAGAGGTTGGTTTTGGGGTGTTAGTTACTCTCCACCTTGTTTTTTGAGACAGAGTGTCTCATTAAACCTGAACCTCACTAACTGGCTAGATTAACAGGCAGCAAAGCCTTAGGAAGCCTCTGTCCCTTCTTCCGTGTTGAGATGACCACTGCTTGGTTCTCACCTGGGTGCTGGGAATCACACTCAGGCCCTGTTGTGAGGCACTCATTTTATCAACTGAGCCACGGATCTAGCTCAGAAGTGATGTTAGAGCAGCATGGGTTTAGAGCAGAGCGGTGTCTTATCCTCTATGTGTAGGGACGCTCACTGCACCTAGAAACATTAGTCACATAGGTAAATCCACTTTGAACAAAATAGTTGCCCTCCTGCAGTAGCATGGGACAACCTAGACATCAGTGTCCTTCGTGAAGGGTTTCTCTTTCATGCAAACCTTTGCTCTTCAGATCAGCACCTTCATACAGGTGCCCAGAGAGGCTTGGCAGGCAGCTCTGCTCACCCAGATGGAAGGAGGTCAGGCGACATCTTCAGGAAAGCCTCTCAGAGCTCAGTGTTGTCCAAAAGTTGTGAACAGGTGCTCTATCTAGACTATTGACTGGCATTAATTAAGTAAAAATAAAAATGGCAAGAATTCACAAACTTAAAAGGGCAGTTGGGGTGGGTGGTGGTGGCACCTGCCTTTAATCCCAGCACTTGGGAGGCAGAAGCAGGTGGATCTCTGTGAGTTCGAGTCCAGCCTGGTCTACAGAAAGAGTGAAGACTGTGTTGTGCTGTATTATCTGACCTGACAAGGGCTTCATGTCTCCTGATTCTGAGGGGACAAAAGCATACTTCATTTTAACAAGGAGTGCGTGCGCGTGTGTTTTGAGACAGGAATTTTGTAGCTCAGAATGACCTCAAACCCCTGATCTTCTGCTGCCATCTTCTAAATGCTGGGGTTATGGGCACACATGTGGCCATACCTGGCACAGCACAATATTTACTTCTTAAAGATCAGAAGTCAGGTGTCTTAGCATCAAGAGGAGAAATGCCGGTCCTCTGGAAATTTAGACCAAGGGGGCACTACTTCAGCTGAGAAGAAGGCACCAGCTGTGGCTGGCGCGAGGGTCTTTATGGTGGCTCTTGCAAAGATCTAACTTGATCCTGCAGATCCCTCACAAAGAGAGCTGGCACAGAGCCCAGCTAGAAGCCAGTTGGACAGCTGGGGTCCTTTTCAGATGTGCAGCACACAAGTGACTTACTTTTCTGTGCCAAAGGACATTTTACAAACAGTGAAAAGGCAACTTACATGGTTGAAAAGATGCTGTCCATTCTAGACCACGGAGGCTGAATCCGGAATATTTAAAGAATTTTTCAACTTAACAACAGAAAGACAGCTCGCTTCAACTGAGCAGGTTTGAATAGCCTTTCTCTATAGAGGACATATCTATGGCCACACCTGGGGTGGTCGTGAATGCCTGTTATTCACAGCCCTAAGAACCCTGAGACAGTTGGGTCATGAGGTCAAAGCCACATACTAAATCCTTTCTTAAGAAACAAGAAAATGGACAACAATACGCAGGTGAAAAGAAGCTAAATATCTTGGCTACTAAGTAGCTGCCAATCTTACCCATGGTAGGGCCACATCCTCCCCACCAGGATGGTTAGAACCCCACAAATGGCACACAGAGGCTGGTGCTCCGCTACTTTGTGGGTTGGAGTGCTGTGGTTTGTAGCTGCTGTGGAAAAGAACTCAGTAGTTCCTCAGAAACTGAAGCACTGAATGGCTGGAGAGGCAGCTCAGCAGTTCAGAGCACGTAATTCCAGCTCCAAAAGGGCTGTAGCAAGAGGATGTCTGGGACTTGCTGGCTTCCAGGTTTATCCAGACTTACATAGATACCTGTAAATAACACAGAAGTAAATATTTTTACGTTAAAATCAAATTGCTGTCTAAGTTCATCCCCAAGTATCTACCCTGGAAACTAGAAACATCTGCTCCCAGAAGTGAACATGCATGCACATGTCAAGAGTGCCAGGCACAGCAGACTGTGGAAACGACCAGTGTCATCAACAGACGTGTGAATGAAATGTAGGGGAAAGTGTACAAGTGATCCTCCAGGCTACAGTGTAGATGATGTGGTACTGGGGATGGACCCCAAGGCCCTGGGCATTCAGCATGGGTGACCTCAAGACCTCATGAAGGTCAAAGAAGCCAGATGGTGCAGATCTCTTAGTATGTAATTCACTGTGTGGAATACCCAGAATAGTTAGTGTAGAGAAGGAATGTAGAATGGTCCCAGGAAGTGGATAAGCAGGTAGTTAGTGGATCCAGGACTTCCTGTCAGAAGCATTTTGTAACCTGTCTCTGTGAGTTCGAGGCCAGCCTGCTCTACAGAGAGAGTTCCAGGACAGCCAGGGCTGGGTGGGTGTCATGAGGTATGCTGAGAGCAGGTGTTAGAAGGCTTCTAAGCTGGGAAGTAGCTGTTCCAGTAGAGACCAACATGGGAAGAGGTTGAGATAGGGGAGTCTTGAGTTTGAAGTCAGCCTGGACTATGTAAGTGAGACTGTATATCAGAAAAAAGGAGATGGGGAAGGGGGAAGCTTGAGCAATTAGAGTCTGCATTGGGAAATCACTGGTGGGGTGGGGGGAGCCCGGGCAAACTGCAGACTGGCTTGAATTGGAGCCATTGGAGACAGGAAGCAGCTGTTTTACTCAGGCAGCTGAATTTAGCCCTGTAGGCAGAACAGAACCTTCTGACCAAGAAAGGACCTCTGAGTATTGAACTGGCACTTGTATGTGGGACACTAAACCAAGGAAGACAGTAGACACTGGTGCACTTTCAAGCACAGAGTTTCATGCCTGCCCTTCAGGAAGCCATAGGACCTGCGGCTGTGCCTGAGGTGCAGGGGGCAGCGCGCTGGGTGCTGACTTCACCTGCTCGCAGGGACTCTTAACAAGCAGGGCATTGTTTTCTTCTGGTGTGCAGTGAGGGGAACAGGTTTCTGTGGCCTGCTGTGAGCCCAGACAGGTTTGATTGCTGAGCCGTGATAGTTCACGATGCAGAGATTAATAGAAGGGATTTGTCTGAATCCCCCTTGTTCAGTCCTCAGCTTAAGGGGGTGGAGGGAGGAGCAGTAAAGACATTTCTCCTTGGTGACCCAGAGAGTGAGTCTTCTCATTATCTGGCCGGTAGATAGACACCTGTGGGCAGGAGCTCACAGTGGGAGGTTAGACTGCAGCTTCTGTGGCCCCGCCCCCCTTCCCACCTGCCACCCCCTTGGAGAGATCCCCTGGCTCGTTCCTTGCTAGGGGCTCTGGCGTCAGACAGTTGGCCCACCTTGCAGGACCACGCTCCAGCCGCAGAGTTGCTCTCCCCAGCATGGCTCCACCACAGGTGTCAGAGAGACACGATCAGACTTCCCATCTTTGTGCTTATTCCTGGTGTTCCAAACAAAGAAATTAACAACACAGTCTTTTTTTTCTAGGCTCTGGGAAAGAGAAACACGGACAAGCAGTTGTTTTCTCTGGTTTTGAAAGGCTTTCATGTCATGTAGCTTGGTTCCACTTGGTCTATTAAATGCTCCCTCTATTCCAGCTTCCAGTGATGCAAAGAGTAGGGTGATACGGCCTGTAAAGCCTGAGCATGTCCCCTGCCCCCTCCCTTATCCCCCCTGCAGTTCCTGGGGTCCAGGAAAGCCCTGGGACACTTAGAAAAGCCTTTTATCACAACAGAAGCCCCAAACCTCCCTTGAGCCTATGATCTCCCTGGCAGGCCTTGTGCGGGCCTACCTTCTCAGGCTTGTAGGCTAGAAGCATCCCTTCCCCTGGGATGATGTTTGTCCTGCACTGAGCTCTGTCCGTCCTCAGGAGTTATGGCTGCACAGCTCTTGTGTGGGGTTATGTGCCTACAGATCAGAGTGCCTGGAGCGCACACAGAGAGGTGAAGAACCGGGCAGACCCCACACAGCTGCGGCTGCAAAGCCGGGCTAAGGAGGCCTTGCTGAGCCCTGTCTCCTGTCTCTCCTCTCCGGTCCAGGTGGAAGTGAAACCGTACGTGCTGGATGACCAGATGTGTGACGAGTGCCAGGGCACGCGCTGCGGTGGGAAGTTTGCCCCCTTTTTCTGTGCCAATGTCACCTGTCTACAGTACTACTGTGAATACTGCTGGGCCAGCATCCACTCCCGAGCCGGCCGCGAGTTCCACAAACCGCTGGTGAAGGAGGGAGGCGACCGCCCTCGGCACGTCCCGTTCCGCTGGAGCTGAGCGCCGGCCGGGCAGACCCAGCTACAAGTACTGGAGTAGGATCACAAGGAGGAAGAGAGGGCACTGCCTCAGGGCTCACGGTGTTCTGGAAATCTGTGCATTCGTTCTCGATTTTTAAAGAAGAAATGGGTCTTTTTATTATTATTATCATTTACAGTCCATATTACTGAACTCAGCGTCCAGTATAATGCAGAATCGCAGAGTGTGTAACGGTACCCATTTGCACTTTGACTCACAACTTGTCTGCTTGTACCTTGATTTCTTACACCTGATCTGTCACCTCCACAGTACGTAGACTGCCATTCTCATCAGCGGCCGTCAGGTTGCCGTCTGTGACTCTTTGTCTGGTGTTGTGTTGTCGTCGCTCTGACTGGTTCTGACTGGTTCTGACTGGTTCTGAACTGGAGCATGCACTGATTTTCAGAAACTTAGAGAGTCGCCCCTAGGACGAGACTTACCAAAGGTCCCACGTGTAGGTAGAGGCCGGCGTAGCAAACACTTTACAATCCGCAATCAGTAGAGGGGTCACGTAGAGCAAGGATAGCCCTTCATGAAAATAAGCCTGTAGCTGCTCTGTACTCTGACGTGTACGGATACCTCACAAGCTGGATCTTTCATTTCCTTCATGTTTGGTTTTTGTTTTGCTGAGGATTTGGGTTAGATGTTTTAGTGTTATGTAAATTTATGCTGCAATAGCTTTTGCTGCTATTAAAAGATATTGTTGATACCATAATACTCTGTTCAGGCTAAGGTATCAATTAAAAACAAAAACAAGAACCCAACAACACACTTTGATGGTTTAGGGATAGAGCAAGCTGCCGGAGGAGGTCAGAAGAGACCAGAGAGAGCCAGCGGAGGCCGCCGTTCCTGACTGCATGTTTACTTAATGCGGTTGCTGCATGCAATAAATTTTATATCCAATGTCTAGTATAAAACCTTCCCACAATGCACAAATTAAGAATCTATATAAGCTATAAACTACTCATTTTTTTTAAAGATTTTTTTTATTCAAAAGAATTGGTAATCGGTGGGAGGAAGGCATGCCTTGTGTCCGTGGACAGGAAGAGCTCATAGCAGGACGACCATTACTCAAACCAATAGAACACCTAGGTGTAGGATACTCTTACAGCAAACCTGTGGGTGGTAGATGAAGTACTGCGGTGCTGTTATATCTTGTGCAATTTATTTTATATAGTAAAGTGATTATTATGTCTAACTGTGATCAAATGTAACTGTCGAAAGCCTCCGCGTCAGACATTAGTGGGCGTGACCATTCATAGCTGGTACGTTATTAACCCCTGAGCTCTGAGTTACGACCTCGTAATTCTCACCCCACTTTCCACAGCTTCAGATCTTGTCCAGAAGGCCAAAGAGCTCGTCCTCACTCTCAAACACTAAGGATGGACACAGAATCTAGAAATAAGCTGTCAGAAGCCACGTGAGGGTGATGCTAAAGCAATGTCTGTCTGGGTGAGTGACTGAGCAGACGCGGCCTTTGGTGTGAGACACTAACCACCAGGTCCCTGGATTCACCCTGGAAAGCCTGGCTGGGCTGGCGCCCTGCTGTGCTTCCGTGGACATTGTTTTAGCATTCGCTCCTGGGCTGCAAAGAGGAATAGAAACATGCACGGTGATTGCAAGACTGTAAAGCTTTTAATCCCTTCTTCCTTTGTTCTGAATTCTGGGGACAATCTGACTGGATGTCACACTGCAGAGTAGATCTAAGTCACTGTGTTTTTGTGCTGTGATTTCCTGTACTGTCTTAAAGTTAGTGTTGCCTGGTTTTTGTTGTAGTTTGGTTTTTGTTTCTCCAGTGTTGAGTTGTGAATACTGGCTCTCCGGCTACAGTTTGTTTTCAAAAAGAGGAGAAAAAAAAATAGTTTTTTACTGAATTAAAAGATGCCTATTAGAGCCCTCCCCCTTGGGGTTTTCTCTGGGCCTTTTGGTAATAATTGCTTTTCTGCAGCCCAGATGTGGTTTCGTTTTGTTTTGTTCCTTTTTTCTATGTTTGTGTTTTACTTTTTTTCATCTGTATGGGAAATTTTGTTACGCACTACTACTTTTTATATTCTAGACCGTTTTCAAGAGTTGGCTGATGGTTTTTGTTTGTTTGTTTTTAAGGAAAAGGCATGCTTTCTGACTGACCTGATCTTTTGCAATACCTCAATTTTGAAATATAGGAAAGAAAATGATATTTTCTAAGTAAGTTTATTCAGAAAATATATATTAATTTAATTCTGCAAGAAAATGATTTAACAGATGGGTAACTTTATTTTTTTCATGCTTATTTGTGTTTTTTGAAAATGAAGAAGTTAGAGCTTTATAACTATAATATTAAAGATCATATCTAACCTACAGAAATCTACCTAATTATGTGAAAGATGCAGATGTTTGGAAGAAGCTCCCCTCTTTCATGTTCTAAAACAACCCTGAGCTCTAGAGAAGCTGGAAGACTGGGCAGCGTAAATAACGCGGAGGCCACAGTGTCTGTCGCGGAGGGAGACCAGGTTGTGAGAGAGACTCCATTATTGCCGGGAGTTGTGACTTAGGTGACGGAACTACTTTCCCTTGATTTGTATATTTATATCAAGTGTTGATTGTGCGGCTGACCAGGATTGTGAAAGAGTTCTTCTGTTTGTATTTTTTTAAAGAGAACTTTTTTAGTTTATTAAATTATAACATGTTCCCTTTTGTTTTTGTAAATAAATGTGCCCCCCCCCAAGTTCTTAATGTTATATTAAAAGAGAGGGTCCTTCAAAAAAATTATTTTTTAAAACACAGAGGTGTTCTGCCCTGCAACTTGACTGGGAAGCCCCTGGTAACACAGGCCCTGCCGTGGCCTTCCTTGCTGGGACACTTGAAGTAGTGGACTTTTGAAGGCTGTACTAACCTCGACTCTTTGTTGTTACGTGCAATACTGTTTGTACTGTTTGTATAAAAATAGAAAAAAAGAAAAGAAAAAAGGCATAAATCTTTATTGCAGATTTATTTTCATTGCAGACTTTAGACATTGTGACTCACAGAACACTCATTTTCTACTGTCAAATACGTACCTTTTCCTCATGCTGGTATTTTTTCAATAGTAACGTAGCCTTTGTACTGAGACAAATTTTCATTGTTATTTTTAGAAAGATTTTTTGCTAAGAAAAAAATTAAACATATTTACATATTTTTCATTTTATTTCGTATTTTCTTTAAGGAGTGCTTTCTCAATCATTACTAGAGTTGTTTCTGGGAGGGACTTTCATATCTGGTCAACGTCATAATATTATTTTGTATTTTTACTTGGAATAAATTAATTTTATGATGCTAATTCTTTAAAAGTTTATTTTTTTCATTTTCAGTTATTTTTGAAGCTAAAACCTTTGTAATATTGTTACTAAAGTGTCTAGTTTTTTGAAATGCAAAGCTTTATGTACTAACTCGCTGATGTGGTTTACAGCAGTGGCAACGACGGGAAGAGTTGGTTCTGTAAAGCGATTGGGACTGTAACAGACAACTGGGTAATAAAATGACGGGATGAGCCGAACGTGCGGGATCTGGACAAGCCTTTTCCTTTCTTACAGTGCTTTAGTGTGAGACTAGGGATGTCACGGTACAGGTCTCTGAGGATGTCACCGTGGGTTTACACAACACCAGATGCAGCAGAGTCTGTGACCTGATAATGACGTCACCCTCCTGAAATAGCACGGAGTGTGAAGCCACGCTCGGCCAGCAGTGCCCAGTGCTTCCCCTAAAACTCCTCATGTGCGCACCGTGTGTGTGTGTGTGTGTGTGTGTGTGTGTGTCTGCCACCAACTGCTGTCCATGTGTGAGCTGGTGCCTTTCCCTCCCAGATTTTTACATGCATGCACAGTGGTGACCAGTGAGCGAAGACACGGCCTTCTATGTTGCATGACCTGAATGCCTCACCCGGCGTGTCCCTGGAAGGGCTGGCGGCAGGCCCTGGGGATGCACACTGCACGTCACCACTGTATATGTGTTCACTTCATCTTCCTCCCTCCTTGTCTGGTCCCCTGTTCTAGCGCCCCTTGTTTACCTTTTCTCGTGGTGACACTGGGCCACTCCGCATTGATCTGTCTGCCTTCCCGCTGCTGCTTCTCCAGCCCCCAGCCCCACCCTGTCCCGCCCCGTCCCCGCCCCCGCCCCACCCCGTCTCGCCCCGCCCCCGCCCCACCCCAGTCCCAGTCCCAACCCCAGCCCCCGCCCCTGAAGTGCACTGTGAAAGCTGCTGTGGCCAAGGCATCTGCAGCTCCCGCAGAGGCGGCTCAGTTACCCAGCTGGTGTTGTGTAAACGGAACGTCCCGGGACTTGCTCTAGACAGAAGGTGCATTTCTGCTAGTTGCTGGTGGCCTCTTCTAGTCGCGCTGGAGAGGAGGTTAATCACTAACTGGGGTCCGCATGTGTCCAGAGCTGGCTCTTGGGTTCGCTCTATGTATTCAGTTTTGTAAATAATATATAGATTAGATCAAGTTGTGATGTAAAATTTTAACTCAAATTGGGTCCTATTGGTTGGAATTTTACATTAACTACAAATAAATGATTTAGGAACAGAAGAAACTGGGAAAATTCTTGTTTAGTGGTATAAAGATTATGCTTAGATTTCCGCCTATATCTTGTGTTTTATAGCTTGTTAGTGAGGCATGGGCTAATGCAGTGGACTGCATTTGAATTAGCGAATAGCTGCTAGTTTTCATTTTCTCTCTTCTATTAGCTACAAAGTGGCATTTAACCGGGTCAAGCTCCTACCTAAATATTTGAGTATTGTGACATCTCAGCTTGCAAGGTTTGAATGAAAGGTTAGTCACAGAGTAGTGAAAAAACCAAGTGTCTTTTTGTTGAAACCGGCTCCTTTGTGCTGCCCCCCTCTCTCCCACTAGCCGCAGCGTGTCTGCTACCATTCTTTTTTCTTTCCTAATAACCAAACTCGTCAGCTCAGCTGCCACAGTGTTCCATTCCCACCACGGAGTGTTTTAATAACGGATGCTGTTGACAGAATCCCCCACAGTGGGTCCAGAGGGAACCGCGAGTCCAGGGATCTGACTGTGGGATCAGAGCAGCTCATTGGGTCCAGTGGAGAGCTCGGGTGCTAACAGGGGACGCCTGCTCCTGGACACAGTGCCGTTGGGGTACAAAGTGTTAGGCATTTTTGTATTTTTGCTGTCAAAATGATGGACATGACTTTTAGAGTGTTCTCAGCTAGGATCTCTGTATTTGTTTTTCAACTAACAACTAATTTGAACTGTACTGTATCTTTCTTACCTGTTCTCTTGGATTGTTTGCGCTGGTAACCCTTCCTCTGCCCTGGGGCTTGGATTAATACTGCTTGTATGGATTCGCTACTGTGACTGAGCGTGGAACTCATGCAGCTGTCGCTTAACTGCTTAACTTTGTAGTTTGGACTTTTTTTCTGTAATAACAACTTATTAAATCTAGTTGTACGAAGCACTGGCGCTTGTCATCCTTTGCTACGGACTCTCTCCCCGTGTGCCTGCTCCGCCTCGGGAAATTCTGATTTGCTCCAGTAGTTTTTAAAAAAAAAAAAGAAAAGAAACAAGAACCCCAAGTCTTCCAAATAGTTCCCCTCTTCCATCAAAGCTCCCCTTTCCCGAACACAACACTTTCAAACGCACAAGTCAACTTGAAAGACGAAAGTATTTGTGGGCTCAGATGATAGATGTGGGGGCTTAGTAGTTTTCTTTTCTGCGCTCTTGGTGACCCTCTGGGTCTCAGGCAAGCTAAATTTAAGATCTGTCCCTGAGCTACGGAGCCTTGGGTTCTAACTGCCAGCAGGTTGCCACATGAAGCCAAAGTATTCAATCGGAACTGTTGTGAAAGGTGAGTGCTGATGTCGTCTTAGTTCTCACCATGGCACCAGAATCTCTTAATGGATTTCTTTCAGAAAATGGGGCCTTGCTGCAGTTTCCTCAGAGAGTCAACCGGTCTTCCTTGAAGGAAAAGGATGAGGAACCCGGCACAAGACGGTTCCATCCGGGTGGGTCTGGGCACACAGGTGGTTCTGGGATGAAGGCCTGGGGTCTAGCACGCATGCCACACGCCTGCATGTTAAACACAGCCAGGGTGACACCGCACTCTGGGCTCCCCCAGGGCCACGGAGCGGAGCGACTCTTGGAATAGGGAGGGGAGGGAAGGAGAGGAAGAGGGGTGTCCCAGGAGGAGGGGGAGCAGAAAGCTGAGAGGTCTGGGAGGCAGGGCCGCAGCATCTGGTTGGCACTCCCACGCGACCTGACCCTTCCCCTCAGCGCGTGTCCTGTCCCCACATCTGCCTCCACCTCGCCAGGGGCATTGCGGGTGTGAACTCCAGGGCGTCGTCCTACAGGTGAGTGCACTGCACGGGCACCAGGCCTACAGGGACCCCAGGTCACCCAGAGTGCCTGTGACTGGTGCCACCCTGCAGCCATGGGGCTTGTCTCTCACACACACACACACACACACACACACACACACACACACACACACACACACAGAGCCATAGCGGGCTCCTTTAAAGTCTCCTTTTTTTTTTTTTTTTTTTTTTTTTTGTT